TCCAGGGCCTTTCTGTAAGATGAGTACTCGTAGGAATTGGCGTATTCCCAACACCTTTATCGGATGAATTTCTGTACTGAGTACATGCCAATACGACCTAACTTAGTTTAGGGAAAATCCTTTTTACCAGGCTGATCTTGCAGCTGCGTTGCACTCCAACACGAAAATCTGGAAATCCGTGCAAAACAGAAGAACCGATTCTACACCCATTAAAATCATTTTTTGTTAACGTGCAAAACCTGTAATGTGTTGCATCCGCCATTCCCAATTTGCTGAGATTTGATGCGTTAGAAGCAAACCCGAATCTGCACTGCTATCGTTGCGCCTTTGTAGAGTTCTAGGACAGACTATCATATTAGATGGGAATGCAAGTGAAAACTTCGTCAATTAAGCCGTTAACCTCACTAAATACCAAGGTGACTAAACTGGACGTTTGCTGCGCGACCTATCACAGAAGTAGGAGCGAAAATGGGTTCTTGACAAAAAAAACTCCTTTTGGAAAACCGGGAGTTCTTGAATAAATATTGACAGCCCTCATGGCATGCTTGTAGACGACTGTAATGCGCAACAGGGCGGACATTATGATTGAACTTATTCCCACTGAGCTTTCAGACATTGAGCAGCTTACGTTTTATGCGGGTCCTGTCGTTCACTTAAGTGCGTTCCGAATTGGAGGTAGGATTGCTCTGAATCGAATACTTAAAACAAGGAACTGCGGCTTTTTATGGTGTACATGTCCGTTGATACTATATTTAACATTCTTTAGAATTTTTATTTAGGCAGAGGTGCATAGCTTCAATCTTACAGCAAGGGTTAGGGAACCGCTCCGGACAAGACTCATTTACTACGTTGCGGATCAGCACCGTACGATACTGACTGGATCCCCTGTAAAGAATACAGCAGTCTGTTTAAAAGTATAAGAGGATAAGTTGTCTGCCCGGTCATGGTCGCCACTGAGGTTCCTGAATCAGAAGACAACTGTGTCCAAAATGCTCATTACCGCAAACATTAATAACTAACTGGGAGCAATTCAGCCATTATGGCAAATAATGCAACAACTGTTTCCCCATTACTGCATTGTTTGCTACGAGCACCGACTTGCTCAAACGTAGCAATTAATTTATGAGGGAATTTAAAAGTTGGCAAAAGTGGTCTTCTAGTTCGAGAGCCTCAATCGTGACCCCGACGGAACAGATAACTTATCCTCTTCTACGCATAATTTAGACTCGTTCTAACTCTGATTGCTTTCAAACGTTAACAGAATACTGCACCTTTACAACGGATTCCGTCAGTACCGTGCTGATCGTCCTTATTATGGAAAGCGCAATACTAGAACAAAGCAACGCAATGTGACCATCAAGGTACGACGGTCGACAGTGCGAAAGTCCATAAATCAAAAGTCGAGAGTTGACTGGACAGACTTAACTGAGGTGGGAGCGTGTACCCAGCTCAGCAGGCGTTCCTTTCTGCCGTGCAACACTCGTTGGGTTTTTTTTAGCGAAGCGTGCATGTACCCTTTGTCCGACCGCAGTCACCCAACGAAGGGTGCGGCTTCGATTAATCTCGAATTCTTGCCACGCTAGTTCCAAGTCTCACCCGGTCTATGCAATCGGTTGACAGGGAGGGGGACATTGAACGGATTGCAGGTGGCATGGGTGAGTTGCCCTTGTGGCGATCGTGGGAGCGGGTCGCGACCCCAACCC